TACACCACCAGAGATGGTACACCACCAGAGATGGTACACCACCAGAGATGGTACACCACCAGAGATGGTACACCACCAGAGATGGTACACCACCAGAGATGGTACACCACCAGAGATGGTACACCACCAGAGATGGTACACCACCAGAGATGGTACACCACCAGAGATGGTACACCACCAGAGATGGTACACCACCAGAGATGGTACACCACCAGAGATGGTACACCACCAGAGATGGTACACCACCAGAGATGGTACACCACCAGAGATGGTACACCACCAGAGATGGTACACCACCAGAGATGGTACACCACCAGAGATGGTACAACACCAGAGATGGTACACCACCAGAGATGGTACAATACCAGAGATGGTACACCACCAGAGATGGTACACCACCAGAGATGGTACACCACCAGAGATGGTACACCACCAGAGATGGTACACCACCAGAGATGGTACACCACCAGAGATGGTACACCACCAGAGATGGTACAGAGATGGTGGCTGATGATATGATGAACAAACCACCCCATCAGAAGGTGATGAGACGGCGACGTTTCGGTCCGTCCTGGACCATTTTCAAGTCTTGTGTCGCAATCGACTTGAAAATGGTCCAGGACGGACCGAAACGTCGTCGTCTCATCACCTTCTGATGGGGTGGTTTGGTCGTTAGCAAATCATATGGGACCCGTTTACAAAAGCATAATGTATTCGATTTATTCAATGTATTCAATTTTGTAAATCAAGAGATGATTTATTTTCCAATTAAACTATGAAAATAGAGCTGATATCCTCACCACAGAGCCGCAGACCACCGCAGACAGTCTCACCACAGAGCCGCAGACCCCCGCAGACAGTCTCACCACACAGCCGCAGACCCCCGCAGACAGTCTCACCTACACAGCCGCAGACAGTCTCACCACAGAGCCGCAGTCCCCCGCAGACAGTCTCACCACAGAGCCGCAGACCCCCGCAGACAGTCTCACCTACACAGCCGCAGACCACCGCAGACAGTCTCACCTACACAGCCGCAGACAGTCTCACCACAGAGCTGCAGACCCCCGCAGACAGTCTCACCTACACAGCCGCAGACCCCCGCAGACAGTCTCACCACAGAGCCGCAGACCCCCGCAGACAGTCTCACCTACACAGCCGCAGACTCCCGCAGACAGTCTCACCACAGAGCCGCAGACCCCCGCAGACAGTCTCACCTACACAGCCGCAGACCCCCGCAGACAGTCTCACCTACACAGCCGCAGACCCCCGCAGACAGCCACCCCTATAGAGATGTACAGCATCATTTATCCCAATACGTCGGGAGTCTGCTGCAAGGATGCTCTGGCACCTCCGAGGGCCGTGAGATGAACTGCTCGTTACTGGATCACGCCCAGGTGAGGTATGGTGAGGGTCACTATACCTCACTGTAGCAGGTATGGTGAGGGTCACTATACCTCACTGTAGCAGGTATGGTGAGGGTCACTATACCTCACTGTAGCAGGTATTGTGAGGGTCACTATACCTCACTGTAGCAGGTATGGTGAGGGTCACTATACCTCACTGTAGCAGGTATTGTGAGGGTCACTATACCTCACTGTAGCAGGTAGAGTGAGGGTCACTATACCTCACTGTAGCAGGTATGGTGAGGGTCACTATACCTCACTGTAGCATGTATATGGTGAGGGTCACTATACCTCACTGTAGCAGGTATGGTGAGGGTCACTATACCTCACTGAAGCAGGTATGGTGACGGTCACTATACCTCACTGCATGCGTCACCGTATACCTGCTCATTGTAGCAGGTATATGGTGAGGGTCACTATACCTCACTGTAGCAGGTATTGTGAGGGTCACTATACCTCACTGTAGCAGGTATTGTGAGGGTCACTATACCTCACTGTAGCAGGTATATGGTGACGGTCACCATACCTCACTGTATACTCCTAAGAAATTTAGACAAAGTCTAAATGATGATTTAGACAAAAATAGACAAAAATCTATTTCTATTTCTATTGATGTTGACAGCTGGAGCAAAACGATGCATCAATTTTGATAGAAAATCTTAACTGAGATCAAATGACGCCTCAGACAGGTATTAAACCATCACAGAGTAGTTAAGATAAAAGTAAAAAGTTAAGTAGTTAAGATTGTCCTGGGGACCATTCAGGCTTGTTCGCAGTAGTTAAGATATACATAAATTACAGTTAGACATCATTTACACTCATATATGATGATTTTGTCCAAGAGCGTCAGTATAGAGGCAGTATAGAGGCAGTATAGAGTTAGTATAGTGTCAGTATAGTGGCATATATGTAGTCACGTTGTGGATTTTTAAGACATTTCCTTCATGGGTTGCAATGTTGGTCGTGTGAAGTCGACGTTCCAACACACACACATATTGCGCATGTATCGTGCTTGCTGTGTCACCTTGTCTCATCACCACAAGTCAACACCTGGCTCATCACACACCTGTCGTCACTCAGCTCATCACACACCTGCCACCACCCAACAACCCACACCCAACTCAGCACACAAAACAGTTATGCTTTCTGATACAAAAGTTGGAGCAACAGGCAGGAGTAAAAGGTAAGGTGCTCCAGTGGATAAGGGAGTACCTAAGCAACAGGAAACAGCGAGTAACGGTGAGGGGTGGGAGACATCAGAGTGGCGAGATGTCACCAGCGGAGTCCCACAGGGCTCTGTACTTGGACCCATCCTGTTTCTAATATATGTAAACGACCTTCCAGAGGGTATAGACTCATTTCTCTCAATGTTTGCTGATGATGCAAAAATTATGAGAAGAATCAAGACGGATGAAGATAGACAGAGACTACAGGATGACCTGGACAAACTGGAGGAATGGTCTAGAAAATGGCTGCTAAAGTTCAACTCAGGAAAGTGCAAAGTAATGAAATTAGGCGAAGGGAGCAGGAGGCTGAACACAAGGTACCATCTGGGAGGTGAAATCCTGCAAGAGTCAAATAGAGAGAAAGATCTGGGGGTTGATATCACACCGAACCTGTCCTCAGAGGCCCACATCAAAAGGATATCATCAGCGGCATATGCTAGACTGGCCAACATAAGAACTGCCTTTAGAAACTGAAGTCCATATTTTGTTAAGTCCATATTTTGTTAAGCATAAGACAAAGCAAGAAAAGATTCAGAGGTATGCCACCAGGCTCGTCCCGGAACTGAGAGGTGTGAGCTACGAGGAAAGGCTAAAGGAGCTGAATCTCACGTCCCTTTAAGACGTAAGAGTAAGGGGAGACATGATAACCACCTACAAAATTCTCAGGGGAATTCACAGGGTGGGCACAGACAAAACTATTCAACACTGGCGGGACACGAACAAGGGGACACAGGTGGAAACTGAGTACCCCAATGAGCCACAGAGACGTTAGAAAGAACTTTGCTCAGTGTCAGAGTAGTTAACGGATGGAATGCATTAAGCAGTGATGTGGTGGAGGCTGACTCCATACACAGTTTCAAATGTAGATATGATAGAGCCCAATAGGCTCAGGAACCTGAACACCAGTTGATTGACGGTTGAGAGGCGGGACTAAAGATCCAGAGCTCAACCCCCGCTAGCACAACTAGGTGAGAACACACCTACGACCACCCGGGAGCCCACGCCCACGTCCACGCCCACCCGGGAGCCCACGCCCACGTCCACGCCCACCCGGGAGCCCACGCCCACGCCCACGCCCACCCGGGAGCCCACGCCCACGCCCACGCCCACGCCCACCAGGTAACTAGCTAAACAAGCCACCTGTGGTATCCTTAACTTGTTTTTGCTGCCTGAGCTGAGCCAAGACATATCCAGGACGCCCAAACGTCGTTATTACGGTGTTAGAGAGTACAAACGTCGTTATTACGGTGTTACAGAGAACAAACGTCGTTATTACGGTGTTACAGAGAACAAACGTCGCTGTAGTTACGCTGGAGGGCTCCTGGGACCACCCCTTCACTTTCTGACCGACGGAAACGCTAAGGCAGCCAGGGGGCCGGAAACCAGGCCTGGGAGTGGGAGTGATTGTCAGGGGGAAAGCGCCAAGCCATTTCGACTATATAGCACTGGGAAGGGGTCAGGATAAGGATTTGGAGTTGGACGGAGGGAAGGAATGGTGCCCCAACCACTTGTGGACGGTAGGGGATTGAACGCCGACCTGCATGACGTGTCGACTGAGCTACGACATGGTAAAAAGAATTGCAAAGGCATGGGGGAGTTGTGTAAAACCCTGGTTTGTGTCTCGGAGAGGCTACAGGATCCAAGTAAGTTCAGTAGAACTTCTGATAAGTTCAGTAGAACTTCTGATAAGTTCAGTAGAACTTCTGGTAAGTTCAGTAGAACTTCTGGTAAGTTCAGTAGAACTTCTGGTAAGTTCAGTTGAACAGTGCTAGTGTATTAGTGTAGTATATTAAGGGTCCCACGGGGGGGGGGGGCTGGGGGTGACAGTGTACTCACCTAGTTGTGTCCCTAGGGTCGAGGCTCAGCTCCTAAGCCCCACCTCTGGTGTGGGTTGATTCGTGAGCCGATTTAGCTGTGGACCGCCGGCTTGAGTTCGTCCACTACCAGCTATGGACCTCCAGCTTGAGCTGGTCCACTACCAGCTATGGACCGCCGGCTTGAGTTGGTCCACTACCAGCTATGTACCTCCAGCTTGAGCTGGTCCACTACCAGCTATGGACCGCCGGTTTGAGCTGGTCCACTACCAGCTATGGACCGCCGGTTTGAGCTGGTCCACTACCAGCTATGGACCGCCGGTTTGAGCTGGTCCACTACCAGCTATGGACCGCCGGCTTGAGCTGGTCCACTACCAGCTATGGACCGCCGGTTTGAGCTGGTCCACTACCAGCTATGGACCGCCTACTTGAGCCGGTCCACAGGCGGGACTGGGGCTCCTGTTGCAACAGTCAACCATGCAACAGTCAACCATGCAACAGTCAACCATGCAACAGTCAGGTTGGACTTACGAAACTTTTTCCCCCACACATAATGTCTACTGGATGGAATAATTCCCTGCCCATCGCGTCAATTCGCTGCGCTTCTTTTTGCCGCTGACGTAATAGTCGTCAATTAGGCGAGATTTGCCTGCAAAATGGTACAAATTACATTAAATATATCACTATTTTTTGTGGCAATGTTCGGGACATACACGATCTCCAATGCCGCCTCCAACAGGGATGGGCCGGATAAGACGGTCAGAACGCGATCAGAACGATGCCAGTTCGGCCGTACAGGAGTTATTTCTATATTAATTTTACCTCAGAGATCCCAAGATATAAATTCGGATCTTAACCGGTAATTCCGGTGAATTCAATTAAGCCCAAACGGCTCCGTAAAGAAGGCGGGTGTGGGGGGCCTGTGCTTCTCGTCTCAACACCCTTCATTTGAGACTTGTACTCAGATTCGGCGCTACTGAAGGGGCTATTAGTATTATGGTTGTTAGAGACTGATTGGCGAGATGAGGTAGTTAATGCTGATGCTCCTTGGTATTGCTCGCTCTCATCTGGAAGGGTTTGTATAATGTGGGGGTGGGTTAGTGCGGTGGTGGTGGGTTAGTGTGGTGGTGGGTCAGTGTGGTGGTGGTGGGTTAGTGTGGTGGTGGGTTAGTGTGGTGGTGGTGGGTTAGTGTGGTGGTGGGTCAGTGTGGTGGTGGGTTAGTGTGGTGGTGGGTTAGTGTGGTGGTGGTGGGTTAGTGTGGTGGTGGGTCAGTGTGGTGGTGGTGGGTTAGTGTGGTGGTGGTGGGTTAGTGTGGTGGTGGGTTAGTGTGGTGGTGGGTTAGTGTGGTGGTGGGTTAGTGTGGTGGTGGTGGGTTAGTGTGGTGGTGGTGGGTTAGTGTGGTGGTGGGTTAGTGTGGTGGTGGTGGGTTAGTGTGGTGGTGGTGGGTTAGTGTGGTGGTGGTGGGTTAGTGTGGTTGTTATGCACCATGGAGAGTGGCAGGCACAGTGCTTCTGCTCCTTCCTTTAATATCCATGGTGATATTCCATCTGGGCCTATAGCCTTTGTCACATCCAACTCTAGTAAAAGCTTCCTTTCATCCCCACTGGTAATCCCAAACTCCTCTATTGGTGCCTGGTTAACTATTCCTTTTCTTATCACTGGAACTTCTCCTTCCTATAATGTGAAGACCTGGAATTTCTTATTGAGTTCCTCAGACACTTCCTTATCGTTTGTAGTGAATCTGTCTGCCTCCATCCTCAGTTTCATTACCTGTCCATCCACTGTTCTTTTCCTCATGATGTGGCTGTGCAGCAGTTTGGGTTGAGTCTTTGCCTTGCTTGCTATGTCATTTTCATATTGCCTTTCTGCCTCTCTTCTCACTCTGACGTATTCATTCCTGGCGCTCTGGTATCTCTCTCTGCTCTCGTATCTCTCTCTCTACTCACTAATGTCCTATTATTTCTATAGTTTCTCCACGCCCTTGTACTTATTTGCTTTGCTAGCTTACATCTCTGATTAAACCATGGGGTTTCTCATCTGCAATTAATATTTTTCCTTTTGGACTGGGACGAACTTGTCTGTTGCCTCCTTACACTTCTTTGTGATGAAGTCCATCATGTCTTGGGCCGTCTTTCCTCCGAGCTGTGTCAGCTCAGCCCATCAGTTACTCAGGGTGTGATCCATACCATTAATCTTACCTGTGACTTGCATGGGTTGGCAGAGGCCATCTCTGGTGGCCCCATATTGTTCCCAGGGCCACTGTTGTGTCCACCAGGGGCCACTGTTGTGTCCACCAGGGCCACTGTTGTGTCTACCAGGGCCACTGTTGTGACCACCAGGGCCACTGTTGTGTCCACCAGGGGCCACTGTTGTGACCACCAGGGCCACTGTTGTGACCACCAGGGCCACTGTTGTGTCCACCAGGGGCCACTGTTGTGTCCACCAGGGTCACTGTTGTGTCCACCAGGGCCACTGTTGTGACCACCAGGGGCCACTGTTGTGTCCACCAGGGCCACTGTTGTGTCCACCAGGGCCACTGTTGTGTCCACCAGGGCCACTGTTGTGTTCACCATGGCCACTGTTGTGTCTACCAGGGCCACTGTTGTGTCCACCAGGGCCACTGTTGTGTCCACCAGGGCCACTGTTGTGTACACCAGGGCCACTGTTGTGTCCACCAGGGCCACTGTTGTGTCCACCAGGGGCCCCCCTGCTGTGGCCAACTCACACTAACGAAGGGAATATGTTAATCTTCGCCTGATACCATCCTTCAATATCCTTGACACAATGCTAATGTTCAGTTGAAGTTGTTCTTACGTATTTGTCCAACACTATGTATATATATATATATATATATATATATATATATATATATATATATATATATATATATATATATATATATATATATATATATATATATATTGGTAGCAGTCTTTCTTGTAAACATATGTTGTTGAAGATGACAGAAAATGTAAGATTAATAATTCTAACACGAATTTTCTCAATATGTCTTATGTTTCTCTTCACTGTTGAGGGATAACTGAAATATCAATTCGCTAAAATTCCTTTGTTTTCTTGGTCTGACGCCTGAACGCGTTTCGTAATTCTTATTACATTTTCAAAGACTTAGTTTACACATAAAAATTCGCCATACTTATACTCGCTTTTTGTGAGGTGATACGGCACAAAAGTTTTGGGTGAGGTGACAAACACAAGACAGAACACGAAACAATGGGTATAAAAACATACGAATGGAAGTAACTGCAAAGGGCTTATTGGCCCATATTTCTTGCTGCTTCTATATTGGTACGGAGTCTTGAAGTGCGTAGGATATAGTTGTGCATTAATTGGCTGTTGATTGCTGGTGTTGACTTTTTGATGTGTAGTGCCTCGCTGATGTCAAGCCGCCTGTTATCGCTGTATCTATCGATGATTTCTGTGTTGTTTGTTAAGACTTCTCTGGTGATGGTTTGGTTGTGAGAGGAGATTATATGTTCCTTTATGGAACATATAATCTCCTTTGCACAATGACAGCCCCTTTCAAAGCTGGAGAAATTGCTGACCTGGAGAGCGTGCAGAGATCCTTTACTGCTAGAATCCACTCAGTAAAACATCTAAATTACTGGGACCGACTAAAGAGCCTAAATCTGCATTCCCTTGAGCGCAGGCGGGAGAGATACATAATAACCTATACGTGGAAAATAATTGAGGGGCTGGTCCCAAACCTGCACACAGAAATAACACCACATGAGACCAGAAGACATGGCAGGATGTGCAGAATACCCCCGTTGAAGAGCAGAGGTGCAACAGGTACTCTGAGAGAGAGCTCTATCAACATCAGTGGCCCGAGACTGTTCAACACGCTTCCACTACACATAGGGGAATAACTGGCAGACCCCTCACAGTGTTCAAGAGAGAACTATCAACATCAGAGGCCCGAGACTGTTCAACACGCTTCCACTACACATAAGGGACATAACTGGCCGACCCCTCACAGTGTTCAAGAGAGAACTTGACAAACACCTCCAAAGGATACCTGATCAACCAGGCTGTGACTCATACGTCAGGCTGCGAGCAGCCGCGTCCAACAGCCTGGTTGATCAGTCCAGCAACCAGGAGGCCTGGTCGACGACCGGGCCGCGGGGACGCTAAGCCCCGGAAGCACCTCAAGGTAACCTCAAGGTAAGGAGCCCCGTTGCTTATGCATCGTTAATCGCCTGGAAAGAGACGTTGTTGTCTTGCCTATATACTGAGTTCTTTGAGGTTTAGTCCCCAAGTGGACATTTGAAGGCATAGACGACGTTGGTCTCCTTCAAGGCGTTCTGCTTTGTGTCTGGAGAGTTTCTCATGAGTAGGCTGGCCGTTTTTTTTGGTTTTATAGTAAATTGTCAATTGTATCTTCTGATTTTTGTCTTGTTGTACTGTACGTCTGTACGTCTAATTTTCAAGGTATCAACTAGTCCATTAAAAATATGACTCATTTTACGGAGAGAGAGAGAGAGAGAGAGAGAGAGAGAGAGAGAGAGAGAGAGAGAGAGAGAGAGAGAGAGAGAGAGAGAGAGAGAGAGAGAGAGAGAGAGAGAGAGAAATGGAGAGAGAGAAAGGGAGAGAGAGAGAGAGAGAAAGGGAGAGAGAAAGGGAGAGAGAGAGAGAGAGAAAGGGAGAGAGAGAAAGGGAGAGAGAGAGAGAGAGAGAGAGAGAGAGAGAGAGAGAGAGAGAGAGAGAGAGAGAGAGAGAGAGAGAGAGAGAGAGAGAGAGAGAGAGAGAGAGAGAGAGAGAGAGAGAGAAAGAGACAGAGAGAGAGAGAGAGGTTCATATATACCAGGTATATATATGTGATTATCACCACTACACTTAACGCAGATATTCTAGTCGACAGTAGCCTATACCCTTGTCTCCCATCTCGGCTGCCTCCTACAAACATTTAACCCAAAATATATCGTCCATTTATCTTGTGCCGCGTCCCAAGACACCGACCCATCACGTCCGGGACCTGTAGTCTTGAAGTCTTAAAGAGGAAAAAAACATCTTTACCAGCCTGGTCGACCTCTCGTTCTGATCTGAAGGGTCACCTTAAAGATCTAATTCTCCTCAGTGTTCTACTGATCTGGGGGAAAGACGGTGATTATATGTTGTGGTTGTGGTTGTGGGGGGTTGTGGGGGTTTGTGGGGGGTTGTGGGGTTGGGGGGTTTGTGGGGGGGGGGGGGGTTGTGGGGGGTTGTGGGGAGTTGTGGGGGGTTGTAAGGGGTTGTGGGGGGTTGTGGGGGGGTTGTGGGGGGTTGTGGGGGGGTTGTGGGGGATTGTGGGGGGTTGTGGGGGGTTGTGGGGGGTTGTGGGGGGGTCTGGGGGAAGGAGGGTCCAAGCTGTCTCATCACTCTTAGTTGTAACTCAATTTGCAACCATTGTCCATTCTTACACTGTCTTTAACTCCAGGAGGAAGCTTCAGTTAGTGGGATATCACCTGTAATCACTACGGCATCTCTGAGAAAATGGGAGATAAAGGGAGCTTCATATTATCATAGAAATCTTAGTGGTGGACCAGTGGACCGGTGGGCTGGTCCAGTTGGACCAGCCATAGCTTTGGGACACTGTTTAGAACCTGTTATATATAGAGACATTCAATTTAAAGTTAGTCCAAAGCTAGTTAGTGGTCATTTTTTTAATAATATGTAATGATATTAGGTCCGGTTTTCATATTAGAGTTAAAGTGAGCATTCTAGACAATCTTGAACAGCATTTTAAGACTTTAATCCACTAGTGGTACAGTTGGTTGTTGTGGTTTAAGATTCGCTACTTGGAACAAAAAGTTCCAAGTAGCACGGTCTATGGTGAGCCCGTAGTTACACTCGGTACATACTGCCAGTGGATCACTTTTACAGTGATCTTGTCAGTAGCTTTACAAGTTATTATAATTTTTAGGTTCACTTAAAAAAAAATCATTCTTTCTCCTGGACGGTTTATAAGTATTAAAGAACAAAGTTACTTCAACTTACCATCAGTTATAAGTAATACAAAATAACTAACAATTAAGTACCATTATACAATCCCATTAGACCCCCTTGAAAACTTAAGGGGTCGAATTAAGATTATTTTATTATTTTTAATTAATTTTTTAATTAATTAAGACACATTATTTTAAGACACATATTGACACATATTTAATTATTTTAATTAAGACACATATTGGGAACAATTCCGACAAGGCCTCAATAGAACTGGAACGTGGACCAGACCACACACACTAGAAGGTGAAGGGACGACGACGTTTCGGTCCGTCCTGGACCATTCTCAAGTCGATTGAGTCGTTACACTATCGTCAAAGCTGAACACAATTCAATTGATAAGACCTCAACCCCCATTTGAGACTCATTATACTCCAGCAGAATATACTGATATATGCTCTTAGCTGAGTGGTCTAATGACTCAAAAAATTTTCTCTCCATAACCCACACAGCAATATCTATATAATGCCAAAAATTAGCATAAACATCAATGCTAAAAATAGATTGTTTCTTATCGGATCTTAACCGACCAGTTTGGTGCAACTTATGCTGCATTGGCAACAGCATTAAGGGAAGGTGAACAGACTACCCAGGGTGATGATAGTATAGCTTATAACACCACCCCCCTTGGGGTTAGTGAATGGTGTGTGTGTGTGTGTGTGTGTGTGTGTGTGTGTGTGTGTGTGTGTGTGTGTGTGTGTGTGTGTGTGTGTGTGTGTGTGTGTGTGTGTGTGTATGTGTGTGTGTGTGTGTGTGTGTGTGTGTGTGTGTGTGTGTGTGTGTGTGTGTGTGTGTGTGTGTGTGTGTGTGTGTGTGTGTGTGTGTGTGTGTGTGTGGTGTGTGTGTGTGTGTACTCACCTATTTGACCTATTTTTACTCACCTATTTCTGCTTGCGGGGGTTGAGCTCTGGCTCTTTGGTCCTTAGCTCCTCAACTGTCAATCAACAGGTGGACAGGTTCCTGAGCCTATTGGGCTCTATCACATCTAGATTTGAGATGTGTGTGTGTGTGTGTGTGTGTGTGTGTGTGTGTGTGCGCACTCACATAGGTGTACTAACCTAGTTGTGCTTGCGGGGGGGGGGTGTCATTAAGCTATCTTCTAAAGACCTTGCAATACCTATCATTAAATACCATCCTGAATATCCAAATACCAATGCATAAATAGTAGGCAGTTAGTCGACCAAGACCCCGTCTTAACTACCTCAGCCTATAACTAGCTTAGCCTAGGTAGTCTTAACTACTCTATAGGCTCTATAGAGAGGTCATGAACTACAACCAACGCAGTCAACCAGCTCAATTGTTGCTCTACCCAACAACCAACCAACCCCCCCACCTAACCTAACTACCTCCACAACCACTATCTAGGCCAGCAACCAGCCAACCACCCACCTACCCCCTATAACTACTGACTCTCTCGTAACTACCAGTTTGCCACCAGACGAGCCAATGGCCCTATTATCTCGGCCGGAGACCTAAGATTACCGCGAGGATGGTTAAGTTGGAAATGATAGCGGGAGAATTTATGATATCTAACTTAAGAGTAGCGCCCTTGAATACCGCCTTACGCGAGAACGGTCTAAAACCTGACAAAACTATGCACACTTATACGTCATCGCTGATCTATCAATACATTCAACCCACATTAACCACAACCCCAATCGGGCCTCAACCCAACCTAATCTAATGGGTGCTATACTAATATATTCTAATCTAATCTAACATGACGGATATAGGAGATAGAATGGTTTATATGATGTGTGTGACGTCACTATGACGTCACAATGCTCAGGAAGGTACAGGTTTTGGACCCGACTGGTCTTACAGGGCGCAGACACAACCTTACCTTGAGGTGCTTCCGGGGCTTAGCGTCCCCGCGGCCCGGTCGTCGACCAGACCTCCTCCAGACAATAGCACATTACCCAGAGGGCGCCGTTAAATTTCATCCTTTGACATCCCTTACTCAGTGGCGAGTTTATATATATATATATATTATATATATATATATATATATATATATATATATATATATATATATATATATATATATATATATGCGAACAAGCCTGAATGGTCCCCAGGACTATATGTAACTGAAAACTCACACCCCAGAAGTGACTCGAACCCATACTGCCAGGAGCACTCTGCTGGCGTACAGGATCCCTTAACCACTCGACCAACACGACCGGACAAAAGAGGATGGTAGCCGAGGCTATATCCACCCCCCACCCTCTTCGCCACCTACCCCTATACACAGGAAAGGTCGGGGGATTGAACGCCGACCTGCATTAAGCGAGACCATCGCTCTACCGTCCTACCCCAAGTGGTCAGACGAGGAGAGGGGAGGGGGAGGGGGGGGGGGAGAGTTAACATGGAAAGACAGGTTAACATAGAGTGAAAAAGTAATTAGATGATTACATTAATAACAACAAACGGGTAGATAACGCATTTGTAAACGGGTAGATAGCGCATTTGTAAACGGGTAGATAGCGCATTTGTAAACGGGTAGATAGCGCATTTGTAAACGGGTAGATAACGCATTTGTAAACGGGTAGATAGCGCATTTGTAAACGGGTAGATAGCGCATTTGTAAACGGGTAGATAGCGCATTTGTAAACGGGTAGATAGCGCATTTGTAAACGGGTAGATAGATAATTTGTAAACACGAAACTTGGGAGGTAGATAGACCGAAGAACGCGATAGACGAACACTTGAATAAACAGGAGGAAGAGAGATGGCCACTAGACAAAACATTACGTCGCTGGATAACGTATATCTTTGAGAAAAAAAAAGGAGCAAATATTGAACTAACAACACACTACTGTTTCTGGGAAGCCCAAAAAAAACTCCCCTGACCAAATAAAAAAAACCAGGTTTGGCCAGGCGAGGGAAAGACGGGTACACTGCACATTCCTTGACATCCAGAGAGACATTGTCAGCGTCCCCCCCCCCAAAAAAAAAAGAACCTAAATGAACAAAACCAGAAACATAAAAATTAGATGTGTCCTCACCTTGGTAAGAGAATACCTAACAAACGGAAACCAGAGACCCATACTGAGGGAGACGAAGAGAAATAACTGGCGATAGACACAAGGGGTCAGTCCACAGCGCCATATTGTTTCTCCAGTCCGTGTTCCTAAGGGTTCGCCAATGTCCTGAAAACGGTCAATATAAAGTAGTCTCTCCTAACCTGCCAGAGGACCCAAAACAGAAAACGGGACAGTACGTCACTTTCGCCAGCCGCCAGGTTGTAGGAGACAGGTTGTAGGAGGACAGGTTGTAGGAGGACAGGCTGTAGGAGGACAGGCTGTAGGAGGACAGGTTGTAGGAGGACAGGTTGTAGAAGGACAGGTTGTAGGAGGACAGGCTGTAGGAGGACAGGCTGTAGGAGGACAGGTTGTAGGAAGACAGGTTGTAGGAGGACAGGCTGTAGGAGGACAGGCTGTAGGAGGACAGGTTGTAGGAAGACAGGATGTAGGAGGACAGGTTGTAGGAGGACAGGTTGTAGGAGGACAGGCTGTAGGAGGACAGGTTGTAGGAGGACAGGCTGTAGGAGAACAGGCTGTAGGAGGACAGGCTGCAGGAGGACAGGCTGCAGGAGGACAGGCTGTAGGAGGACAGGCTGTAGGAGGACAGGTTGTAGGAGGACAGGCTGTAGGAGGACAGGCTGTAGGAGGACAGGCTGTAGGAGGACAGGTTGTAGGAAGACAGGATGTAGGAGGACAGGTTGTAGGAGGACAGGTTGTAGGAGGACAGGCTGTAGGAGGACAGGTTGCAGGAGGACAGGCTGTAGGAGAACAGGCTGTAGGAGGACAGGCTGCAGGAGGACAGGCTGCAGGAGGACAGGCTGTAGGAGGACAGGCTGTAGGAGGACAGGTTGTAGGAGGACAGGCTGTAGGAGGACAGGTTGTAGGAGGACAGGCTGTAGGAGGACAGGTTGTAGAAGGACAGGTTGTAGGAGGACAGGCTGTAGGAGGACAGGCTGTAGGAGGACAGGTTGTAGGAAGACAGGATGTAGGAGGACAGGCTGTAGGAGGACAGGCTGTAGGAGGACAGGCTGTAGGAGGACAGGCTGTAGGAGGACAGGTTGTAAGAGGACAGGCTGTAGGAGGACAGGCTGTAGGAGGACAGGTTGTAAGAGGACAGGCTGTAGGAGGACAGGCTGTAGGAGGACAGGCTGTAGGAGGACAGGCTGTAGGAGGACAGGCTGTAGGAGGACAGGCTGTAGGAGGACAGGCTGTAGGAGGACAGGCTGTAGGAGGACAGGATAATGTCATACATACATCATATATACAAGTTTTCATACATCAGAAGCTGATGTATTTAGACGACCTCCCTCAGTATACAGACTGTTGCTGTAGCTGTTGTACAGCTGGGTACAGCTGGGTACAGCTGGGTACAGCAAGGGTCAGTGGCCCCCAGAGTAACACCCTCCAATGTTGAAGCCTCTAAACATACATATTTCGCAATGATACAGCGAGATACAGCATGATACAGCAAAATACAGCATGATACATTGATATACAGCATGATACAGCGAGATACAGCATGATACAGCAAAATACAGCATGATACATTGATATACAGCATGATACGGCGAGATACAGCATGATACAGCGAGATACAGCCTGATACAGCGAGATACAACATGATACAGCGAGATACAGCATGATACAGCGAGATACAGCCTGATACAGCGAGATACAGCATGATACAGCGATATACAGCATGATACATTGATATACAGCATGATACAGCGAGATACAGCATGATACAGCAAAATACAGCATGATACATTGATATACAGCATGATACAGCGAGATACAGCATGATACAGCAAAATACAGCATGATACATTGATATACAGCATGATACAGCGAGATACAGCATGATACAGCGAGATACAGCCTGATACAGCGAGATACAGCATGATACAGCGAGATACAGCCTGATACAGCGAGATACAGCATGATACAGCGAGATACAGCATGATACAGCGATATACAGCATGATACAGCATGATACAGCGATATACAGCATGATACAGCGAGATACAGCCTGATACAGCGAGATACAGCATGATACAGCGAGATACAGCATGATACATCGAGATACAGCGAGATACAGCATTATACATCGAGATACAGCATTATACATCGAGATACAGCATTATACAGAGAGATACAACGTGATACATCGAGATACAGCATGATACATCGAGATACAGCATGATACAGCGAGATACAGCATTATACAGAGAGATACAGCATTATACAGAGAGATACAACGTGATACAGCGAGATACAGCATTATACAGAGAGATACAGCATTATACAGAGAGATACAACGTGATACAGCGAGATAGATACAGCATGATACAGCGAGATACAGCATGATACAGCGAGATACAGCATGATACAGCGAGATACAGCATGATACAGCGAGATACAGCATGATACAGCAAAATACAGTACGATACAGCATGATACAGCGAGATACATAATACAAAGCTTTGTTAACAACTTTTGTGATCTTATTAACCAAAAATACACATTATTTTGTTGCGTATACTTTGCTTCTTTTTTTTTTACACGAAGAAGAAGAAGAAAAACAAACAAAAATGGACATTTGCCAACTACAACAGTCATCGATCTTGTATGTTGCACTGATGACGTCACCAAGAACAGTGCAAAGGTGCTGGGTCAACATTGCAGGATTGATTAAATCTCTGAGGCAGGGAACATTACCCCCCACCCTCTTGGGTCATCTTGAGGTTATCTTGAGATGATTTCGGGGCTTTAGTGTCCCCGCGGCCCGGTCCTCGACCAGGCCTCCACTCCCAGGAAGCAGCCCGTGACAGCTGACTAACACCCAGGTACCTATTTTACTGCTAGGTAAGAGGGGCATAGGGTGGTTATCTTGAGGTTATCTTGAGATGATTTCAGGGCTTTTTCAGTGTCCCCGCGGCCCGGTCCTCGACCAAGCCTCCACCCCCAGGAAGCAGCCCGTGACAGCTGACTAACACCCAGGTACCTATTTTACTGCTAGGTAAGAGGGGCATAGGATGGTTATCTTAAGGTTATCTTGAGATGATTTCGGGACTTTTTTAGTGTCCCCGCGGCCCGGTCCTCGACCAGGCCTCCACTCCCAGGAAGCAGCCCGTGACAGCTGACTAACACCCAGGTACCTATTTTACTGCTAGGTAACAGGGGCATAGGGTGAAAGAAACTCTGCCCATTGTTTCTCGCCGGTGCCCGGGATCGATCTCGGGGCCACAGGATTACAAGTCCAGTGTGCTGTCCGCTCGGCCGACCAGCTCCAACAACCAGGAACCCATTTTAAGGTTACTGTTGGGTTAAACAGAGCTGTTTAGGCCTACTCTGTTGGGTTAAACAGAGCTGTTTAGGCCTACTCTGTTGGGTTAAACAGAGCTGTTTAGGCCTACTCTGTTGGGTTAAACAGAGCTGTTTAGGCCTACTCTGTTGGGTTAAACAGAGCTGTTTAGGCCTACTCTGTTGGGTTAAACTTCCTGTTTAAGTGGAAGCTAGAAATACACAAATGGGTCAAAGAAATGTATGGAAATACTCATACCCTGTATGGAGAGTCAGCAGGTATAATGTACTGAAGGAAGAACTCCTAGAAGCCGCCTCCGTCCATAAATGGCGGACCAGACTGTATAGTGAGGTCGACCCTTAGGATAGTTGGTGACAGGGCAGCGGGTCCATGGATGGTGGTAGACTGAGGACGGGGAGCTAGACTTCACTATCCTGTGGTCACTGATTGGTAAGTACTGAGGAGTAGGCAATTGGTATTAATATCACCCCACCACCATACTACTGCCACTACCATCACCACCACAACCACCACACCACCACTACCATCACCACCACTACCCCAACACAACCACCACACCACTACCACACCACACCACCATACCACCACCACCACACCACCACCACCACCCCACCACTACCACCACTCACTACCACACCACTACCACACCACCACCACTCACCAACTACACCACCACACCACCCAACCACACCACACCCACCACCTCACCACCACTTCACCCTCCACCACCACACACCACCATACACACCACCACCACCCACTCCCACCACACACAAACACCACCACCACACCACACCCAACACCACCACACCACCACAACCCACCACCACACCACTACCAACCACCCACCACACCACTACACAACCACACCACCACACCACCCAAACCACCACCAACACCACTACCACCACCCAAACCACACTCCACCACACACCTCCCACCAACACTACCCACTACCACCCACACACATCCACCACACCACTACCACACACACCACTACCCCCCACCACCCACCCCCACCACACATCCACCACACCCACTACCACACTACCAACACCTACCCACCACTCACCACCACCACACCACCACAACCACCCCTACCACACACCAACAAACACCACAACCACAACCCACCCAACCCTACTAACCCAACAATGTCACCACCCCATCATTATGCCCCCAAAGCGCTACCTATTTATGTAAATTTTCAGAAAATAATATTTTAATAACACGTTTGAGGTTACAAAATACTTCTGTATAATTAGGAAGTCAGGACGCCCCTGACGTGAGCCCTTAGTGTCCCCTTGTACCATCTGTGAGCCCCTAGTGTTCCCTTGTACCATCTGTGAGCCCTTAGTGTCCCCTTGTACCATCTGTGAGCCCTTAGTGTCCCCTTGTACCATCTGTGAGCCCTTAGTGTCCCCTTGTACCATCTGTGAGCCCTTATTGTGTCCCTTGTACCATCTGTGAGCCCTTAGTGTCCCCTTGTACCATCTGTGAGCCCTTAGTGTTCCCTTGTACCATCTGTGAGCCCTTAGTGTCCCCTTGTACCATCTGTGAGCCCTTAGTGTTCCATTGTACCATCTGTGAGCCCTTAGTGGCCCCTTGTACCATCTGTGACCCCCTAGTGTCCCCTTGTACCATCTGTGAGCCCTTAGTGTCCCCTTGTACCATCTGTGAGCCCTTAGTGTTCCCTTGTACCATCTGTGAGCCCTTAGTGTCCCCTTGTACCATCTGTGAGCCCTTAGTGTCCCCTTGTACCATCTGTGAGCCCTTAGTGTCCCCTTGTACCATCTGTGAGCCCTTAGTGTCCCCTTGTACCATCTGTGAGCCCTTAGTGTCCCCTTGTACCATCTGTGAGCCCTTAGTGTCCCCTTGTACCATCTGTGAGCCCTTAGTGTCCCCTTCTTGTACCATCTGTGAGCCCTTAGTGTCCCCTTGTACCATCTGTGAGCCCTTAGTGTCCCCTTGTACCATCTGTGAGCCCTTAGTGTGTTATTGCACCATCTGTGAGCCCTTAGTGTGTTATTGTACCATCTGTGAGCCCTTAGTGTGTTATTGTACCATCTGTGAGCCCTTAGTGTGTTATTGTACCATCTGTGATCCCTTAGTGTGTTATTGTACCATCTGTGAGCCCTTAGTGTCCCCTTGTACCATCTGTGAGCCCTTAGTGTCCCCTTGTACCATCTGTGAGCCCTTAGTGTTCCCTTGTACCATCTGTGAGCCCTTAGTATTCCCTTGTACCATCTGTGAGCCCTTAGTGTGTTATTGTACCATCTGTGATCCCTTAGTGTGTTATTGTACCATCTGTGAGCCCTTAGTGTGTTATTGCACCATCTGTGAGCCCTTAGTGTGTTATTGTACCATCTGTGAGCCCTTAGTGTGTTATTGTACCATCTGTGAGCCTAGTGTGTTATTAGTGTGTTATTGTACCATCTGTGATCCCTTAGTGTGTTATTGTACCATCTGTGAGCCCTTAGTGTGTTATTGCACCATCTGTGAGCCCTTAGTGTGTTATTGTACCATCTGTGAGCCCTTAGTGTGTTATTGCACCATCTGTGAGCCCTTAGTGTGTTATTGCACCATCTGTGAGCCCTTAGTGTGTTATTGCACCATCTGTGAGCCCTTAGTGTGTTATTGTACCATCTGTGATCCCTTAGTGTGTTATTGTACCATCTGTGAGCCCTTAGTGTGTCATTGTACCATCTGTGATCCCTTAGTGTGTTATTGTACCATCTGTGAGCCCTTAGTGTGTTATTGTACCATATGTGAGCCCTTAGTGTGTCATTGTACCATCTGTAGGCCCTTAGTGTGTTATTGTACCATCTGTGAGCCCTTAGTGTGTTATTGTACCATCTGTGATCCCTTAGTGTGTTATTGTACCATCTGTAGGCCCTTAGTGTGTTATTGTACCATCTGTGAGCCCTTAGTGTGTTATTGTACCATCTGTGAGCCCTTAGTGTGTTATTGTACCATCTGTGAACCTTTTGTGTCTCCTACAGCCTGTCCTCCTACAGCCTGTCCTCCTACAGCCTGTCCTCCTACAGCCTGTCCTCCTACAGCCTGTCCTCCTACAGCCTGTCCTCCTACAGCCTGTCCTCCTACAGCCTGTCCTCCTACAGCCTGTCCTCCTACAGCCTGTCCTCCTACAGCCTGTCCTCCTACAGCCTGTCCTCCTACAACCTGTCCTCCTACAGCCTGTCCTCCTACAACCTGTCCTCCTACAGCCTGTCCTCCTACAACCTGTCCTCCTACAGCCTGTCCTCCTACAACCTGTCCTCCTACAACCTGTCCTCCTACAGCCTGTCCTCCTACAACCTGTCCTCCTACAGCCTGTCCTCCTACAACCTGTCCTCCTACAGCCTGTCCTCCTACAGCCTGTCCTCCTACAGCCTGTCCTCCTACAGCCTGTCCTCCTACAACCTGTCCTTCTACAGCCTGTCCTCCTACAGCCTGTCCTCCTACAGCCTGTCCTCCTACAGCCTGTCCTCCTACAGCCTGTCCTCCTACAACCTGTCCTCCTACAGCCTGTCCTCCTACAGGCTGTCCTCCTACAGCCTGTCCTCCTACAACCTGTCCTTCTACAGCCTGTCCTCCTACAGCCTGTCCTCCTGCAACCTATCCTCTACAGCCTGTCCTCCTCTACACAACCTGTCCTCCTACAGCCTGTCCTCCTACAGCCTGTCCTCCTACAGCCTGTCCTTCTACAACCTGTCCTCCTACAACCTGTCCTTCTACAACCTGTCCTTCTACAACCTGTCCTCCTACAGCCTGTCCTCCTAC